GAGCAGTGCCCATTTCAGCGCTCTTTCAGTAGATTTGCTTCAAGTTATGCTTTGTCCGTTTTAAAGGTTCCTCGACAGCTGTATCGGACGCGGTTTATGCCCCCAAAACCGAAAGTAGAGGACCCGTAGTTGTTGTCAGTGGTGCTCCGGGCGTGCCGATCTCCGGAGCACGCAAGGACAACAGCCTAGGATCTGGTTTCGTAGCAATGAATCTCATTCCCCGCGGAGGGTCGCAGACCGCATTGCCATTTATTCTTCGTCTGGAGGGTCAGACTTTCGGGTCTAGGTTTGGACACGCCGTTCTTCTAGCCGATATTAATGGCGACGGGTAAGTTTTAATTCCATATCTTCCACAAAACATAAATTTACTTCTTATTTCTAATTTTCAGTCGTAATAGGAGATACTATGTGCGTCATGGTAGGATTACTAATGAGCAGAACTAAGCTCTATCAAGTATTTTAACCCGTTTTTTGAAGCGGTATTCGTACTACCTCACGCACCCGTAGGCTATATCTTTTTTGAACGTAACAATAGTTGAGGAACCAGCGTCTCCAGGGTCCAGCTAACTTCATCACTAACGCCGGTATATTATACCATCAAATTAGCTAAGTAAATTATGTAGGGGAAGGGAGGTTTTTGATTTCGTGAAGAGGGGGTGATAATACGGGGAAAATAAAGAGGTCTTGACTCTCGTCAGATAAGTTGTTGTGAGCCATAATTTGCTGGCAGTTAGTAGTAATCCTTTTCAGCCCAGTCTACAAGTGATAGCTCACGATGGGAGATTGTAAACGTAAATCATAGTTGATAGTTTTCCCGCCTTCCAGTCATGCCTCAGATAATTTCTCAAGCATAGGGTGATGACGTAGATATGACTTCAGAGAAGGATGAATATTCGATTTTTGTCCGAGTGGTGGTGTTTTAATTGTGCTGAGTGTGATTTCCAACCATATTTTATGTATTTCAACGTTAGCCTCCGATTAAAGCCACTTTCGTAGCTCCTCATTGTTAGAAATGGTAATTCCCGTCTCCCTGGTATCCATCGGTAGTTTTCTTCTGCTTGCAATGCTAGCTGCTGTGCGGCTGCTAGCACGAGTGAGTTCCGAGTCAGTACAGCGGGTGAGGCCGTTAACCGATCGATGAGCAGATATCCATCAAGGTTACTATTCCAGATTGAATCCAACAAGCCGATGATCCCGTGGCCCAATAGTTACAGCATTGAGATTCTGATTATCAGGTCGTGCGTTCGGGCCTCGGGTGGTGCAACACCTGGGGCTGCGTATGGATGGCTGATGGCAGCTATTAAGCTAGAAGCGTCATTCCGGCCTCCCTTTTATTAGTCGGTGGTGTTCTTCGCTTGTCCAGATTGGTATTCCAGTGTTTATGCACATTTCCTATGCGAATACGGGGATAGAACGTTACGACCTGATGCTGCTTGCTTGCGAAAACCTGAGATATGGTCTTTTAAGTTTTATAGTTTAGTCGTTTTCTGCTGTCGCGAAATACGGCAGGTTACATTTTCATCTTCTGAATTTAGCAGACGTCTTGGCCAAGCTTTTCTCTTGGCGTCGTTGCCTATAATTGTGGATAACCTAACATCAGGCTACAGTAAACCGTAGTATCCCTAATGCCTATGATTTACCCCAACCTCGTCGAATTACCTACTCTCAGAAGAGATTTGATGTGATGCACAAGTTTCTCCATTTTGTTTGTATTTATTCGCTATTTCGACTTCCGCTTTTTCTTTGGCGTTTCGGTTGCCATAGAACTCCCCATGTACTATGCATAAACTGTCCTTACAATCAGTCCGATTTCCAAAGGAGTATTTTTAAAACCGTAAATAAACTCGTAATGCCTTTTTTCCC